TTTGCTTTTTTGCACTTGTTATCGAGGACAACTCTGTTTTTCTACTTTTGAGATCGTTAAAATACTCCAATGCATTTGTTTGTCGTATCTTTTCGTTGAAAATAAGTATGGCTTTTCCATTAAAATTGGTAATGGAAAATATCGTTTCTTCCAAAAATTTAATCGGAATGGTTTCGCCTGTTTTTTCTCCATATTCAGAAGGTAATAAGATAAATATTATGGATGAGATTGCTGAGAGTAGGTCAAGTTGCTTTTTAAAATATCTCGCGTCTCCCCGAAGATTCGCAAAACAAATTTCATTTTGTAATATCTGTGTCTCTCTTCCACTAGGAAGAAACCAGCTGACTTCAACCAATCCATCGACAACTTTTCTTTTAACGTGACCACCATTCATCTTTTTGTTAAAAAAGAAGTTATGGGTGCTCTCTCCGTCACTCATGATTTCGTTAATCAACGATGATTTCGACATGGTAGGTTTGCCAATACGGATGAAAGAAACCACTGGAAATGGATGTTCTGTCGCAAACACTAGTTTTGTGTCTGTCCCATCCTTCCAACATTTTGTGATGCTTTCTAACGCTGAGAGCAGAATTTTGACATTTTCGGAAGGTGCATCCGGGTGTGGCAGGAGAAATGGAACACTGAGTTGGCACGCAGATAATTTATTGACAATATAACGTCGCAAAGTGTCATCTGATCGATGAAGTATGCCAAGCATCGCATCCATCGGATTGACTCCTAGATCGTCTTCATCTTCACTTTTGTCCGAATCTTCATCATTACCTTTGGTCGAATCATTCTTTAATTGAAATTCACGTACGTGATAATCAACTGACATTAACATTTTAAATATATAATTAGGTATTTTATCTTGGGACGTTAACTCTTCACTGATTGGTCTATTGTTATCGACTTTTCGTGCATCGTTTAAAGTGTACATTTTGTGTGTATTTGTTGTCTTAATTGTTGCAGTTGCTGCCGATGATCTTGAAGGCTGCTTTTGTTGTATCGGTTCACCATTTGACACTGAAGATGAACGATTCGTGAGATCACGAGCAAAGTTCACGGCTTCTATTAGGTTTATGGATAAAAAAGATAGGTGAGCTCTGTGTGTTTTAAAGAAATGCATGCTAATGTTTTTCTTTCACATGGATAATTTACAGGCACTGATTTATATCCTAAATCCTATGCGTTTATTAAAAAATTAAGGAATGTGATCTGTGTGATTCAGTCGTAAAAAAGTGTAATTCGCATTGCCAAATCTACCCAGTGTGTTAAGGAGGCCCTGCTCGTGGCTTAAACGAACAAATACTCCTTACCCCCCATCTTCACAAATGTCTCACTAAACCAAGGTCAGCGAGACCAGCCCAGGGCCCGCGACAGATTTCGAAAGGCGAGAGCAAACTTTAATTACTGACGTTCTGACACCTTCTGAGCATTCCGGGCCCCGGCAATTTTGCCTCTCTGCTACCCCAAGCCTAGGCCTAGCACTATAGACTCAAATATACATCATACAAAATACATTTCATACCATTTCTCGAATCTTCGGTTGTTTTCTCGTTAGGCTTTTGAATGTCTTCGATCGATTTCTCGAAATTGACTGAATTTAAATTTGAATCCGGTTCATCAACTTTTTCTTCCATCGCAGCCCTTGCTTCGACTTTTGCTAATGATTTTCAGTTTTATCTCTGTCAGAACGTCAGAAAATTAAGCAAGATGAAGTCAGATCTGTAAAAGTTTTTCAGAATTTTTGTTATTAAAAACGTTGTAGCCAAAATATTAAGTAATTACCAGAGCGAACGCTGTTTTCTGCCCATGCAGCCAACGCAAATTATGTAACTGTGTGAGTGATTGTTTGTATTACCTAAGAAAGACGCACATGCATCGCGTGGCTTTTTTGACGAGTGAAAATTTGTGGGATTGATCCAAAAATGTATCGTAATAAAAATATTTCGCAAAAAAGTTCAACTTCAATTAAATCTGTTGTATATGCATGAGTTGTATTTGCATGGTTTCCCATGAAGTTAGGAATTCAGAGCACGCCTAATATAATTGTATTCCAATAGGTAATTTCATTTATATTTCTGCGTACACTTCCCTGACTATATGCTAAAAGGTATTGTGCAATTTGCTCGCTGAACTCTGTTTTCTGACCAGGCGATGCAAGTTATGTTGCTGTCCTAGTGTGACTATGTTTTTTAAGGTAGCCTAGCTACACCGGCTACCCTAAGTAAAAGATGTAGCCGGAACGGTTTTGAAATGGGCTGTTCTGTGTTTCTCCAGCTTTCAACATGCGACCTAAAGTTCGGTATATTGTTCATATAAAATTATTAAGAACATTTACGACACAAAATTTGCATAGCTGGGCTGGCCACGCCGCTGTGAACGACGCGATCATAACGCCTAGTAGGCGTCTTATTGGTCGCGTCGCGTAGCGACAGCGACCTATAGTTTCAGCTTTTTTTACTATTGATCGCGTCGCGTAGCGACAGCGATCTATAGTTTCGGCTTTTTGATCGCGTCGCGTAGCGACAGCGATCTATAGTTTCGGCTTGGGTTTTTTTTATTATTTTTTTCCTCTCGGGTCGACCCCTAGCGTCGCTAGCTGCGGGCCATATCACCCTAATCGGGAACCTGCGCACAGGTAAGTTGCTAGTTATATCACGTGTTGTATTCACTTTGGGCATATTTCGTTTCACCTTCGAACTTCGAAGCAGTAAAGTAGAATCAATAAAGGGATCAAAATGCTAGCAAGTGCTATCTTTATCTTTACACTCATTACACATACAACTAACTGCACACGCCGAGCAGAGTAAGCCTGCACTAAAGGATTTCAAGCAGTTTCGAAATGTGCTGTTGTCTGTTTCTCCTGCTTTCAACATGCGACTATAGTTCGGTGTATTGTTCATTTTTATTATTAAGAACATTTAGGACACAAAATTTGCATAGCTGGGCTGCCTACGCCGCTGTGAACGACGCGATCATATAACGCCTAGTAGGCCATATCACCCTAATCGGGAACCTGCCCACAGGTAAGTTGCTAGTTATATCACGTGTTGTATTCACTTTGGGCATATTTCGTTTCACCTTCGAAGCAGTAAAGTAGAATCAATAAAGCGATAAAAATGCTAGCAAACGCTTTCCTCATCTTTACGTTCATTACACATAAATACAACTGCACACGCCGAGCACAGTAAGCCTATATGGGCTACCCTAAGTAAAAGATGTAGAGCGATTTTGAAATGGGCTGTTGTGTGTTTCTCCTGCTTTCAACATGCGACTATAGTTCGGTATATTGTTCATATTTATTATTAAGAACATTTACGGTCTTGTTTGATTATTATGCTCACTCTGCATACACTAGCACACACTGATCATGGTAAACCTACACTAAAACGGGTTTACAGACAACGATCACATGAATCATGAAAGCCTTGTATGCTATGAAAGTCTTGTATGCTATGAAAGCCTTGTATGCCATTCTATGCCATTCTTCAATCAAACCGCACCTTCCTTTCAAGGGTAAAAACGGCCAGACCGATCCTATTGAATTTCAGTACAAACAGATTCCTAGAGTACATGATTCCAAACTCAGCCTTATTCACGTATATCGTTAGCTACATCTGCCTAGCACCAATAATGCAGTTTTACCCCTATATTCTGTACGAAGTGCTCTATTTACTAGAAACCCTAAGAAAGAAACATTTTTCTAAAGGAATAAATATTGACAGGAAATATTGCATGCAACGATTGGCGCGACGCAGTTACCGCGAGAATTGGCGTCTTGTTATTATTTTCCTCTCGGGTCGACCCCCAGCGTCGCTAACTGCAGGCCATATCACCCTCATCGTGGACCTGCGCACAGATACGTTGCTAGGCTACGGTTAAACAAGACTCTATCATTGGCTCTATTATTACATCACGTGTTGTATTCACTTTGGGCATATTTCGTTTCACCTTCCCTTCGAAGCAGTAAAGTAGAATCAAAAAAGCGATCAAAATGCTAGCAAGTGCTATCTTTATTTTTACGCTCATTACACATACATACAACTGCACACGCCGAGCACAGTAAGCCTACACCGGCTACCCTAAGTAAAAGATATAGAGCGGTTTTGAAATGGGCTGTTCTGTGTTTCTCCTGCTTTCAACATGCGACCTATAGTTCGGTATATTGTTCATTTTTATTATTAAGAACATTTACGACGCCTAGTAGACGTCTTGTTTATTTTAAATCGATAATATATGCAGATATTGCAACTATAGAATTAATTTATTAAACGAAAAGTCGAGATCAATATATACATGTAAATTTAATAAACGACAAAAAGCTAGACGATAGATTTTTGCCACCTGACAGCTACGCCATCAGCTAAAGTATCGATTATGAGTTTAACTGGAACAGCAAAGAACTACCTTATTCTCACCTTTCAAAAGAATTTTCCTTTCCGTAAAGACTGTAAAGTTCACATTTATTGGCAATAATTTGTGCTGCCTTTATTGTCATGTGAAATTAAAAATTGTTTTTGTAATCAATAGCGTGTCGGTTTCCAGCAGAGCAAGAATTTATATTTATGTTTAGAATGAGCTTCTATAGATGTGAATCTCGATTTTATTTCAACACTAGGCTATGATGAAGTTGGGCGTCTGGTAACGATGCACCGTGAACCGACCATTTCAGGGATGGCAATGACTCGACACAGCATGGTAACGTCGATATTCGATTTAGTTTACGCCATGAATATTAACCTTTGTCATCCCCGAATAATTGTTGCAATTCACCATACTTAAAGTGGTTCAGCTCGTCGACAAAAGTCTGAAGAATATTTCACGAGAACCATGCATCAAGAAAATAAGTCGTTTTATCATTTATGCAAGCACTGCGCTGTGAATTAGTGGGTTTCTTAAAAAAATGTTTTCGTAGAAATAACGCGCAAACCATAAAAATTAAAAACATTTTAAATATTTAATTTGTATGCGAAGACAGAAACAAATTCACTTACATTTACATGTTTTCTTGTTGAACAAAATCAGACGAACGACTGCTGAATATAAGCTTAAGGTGCGATCAAAACTTGACGCCAAGGAGCGAAGCAGAATTCACAATATCCGACTTAGAGCGTTAGATCTGTTGTCTGTCCAAGCGACATTTATTTGACTGTCGCAGCGTGAGTGTTTGAAGATAACAAGACGCCTGTTGAAGGCATTCACTCCGCCTGCATGCCAACAACCTCGTACCCCACCCGATGCACATGAAATCACCAGTATATATACTGACAAAATCATTGGCCGTGTCAGTATATATACTGCGCCATGGGATCCCCTCGAGTCCTCTCATGCATAAAACCGCAAATTATGCCGTTTAGCGGCTCAAGTCCATCTCTGTGTCTTTCGCGCCGCATTTGTATCGAAGTCGCGAAGTGGTATCTTTTCATTATCATATATTGTATATTTGCGCTTGTATTTTCAGTTAATTTGTTTATTATATAATGTCCGAAGCAGGCAGATCCACATTTTCCATTACGCAAAAGGCTCGTTTGGAACAAGCGTGGTCGTCTGGGTTGCGATCAACTGGAAAACAAAGCGCTTCGCAGATTTCATTGCTTGCCGAAGAAATTGGCTTATCGGCGGATAAAGTTAAGGTAATGTTGTATCATGAAATTTAGAATTGCTAAAATATTTAATGTATTTTCTTATAGTAGAAACTATTCTTATTATAAATATCAAATATATTTGTAAAAACACGTGTTCGCTGGAATAATTCTGGCGCAATACCAAATATATTTATAAAACCAAGTGCTCGCAGGAATACTGATTAAATTCTAGCGCAATACTTTGAATGTCATAACTATATTAACTAGTAGATGCCAGTAGATGGCGTTTGTATCATTAATATTAAGATACCATCTCCGTCATTGCGTAGGCGTAGTTGAAAATATTGAAATTGTCACCTGTGGGTTTGCAATGCCATAGTCATACAATAGTCATTGTTTAATACTTCTGTGGTGATATTATATATTTAAGCTCAGGGTAAATGCTAATGCAGGGTGCAATGTTTATAAACCTGTATCAAATATAATTGGATATATATGAATTGTAATACTTCTGTTTTTAAATTGTAATCACTCACCCCTTGTCCTTGTCTGCCAGGCTCTTCACTTCCTTTGAAGTAGGACCTGGCTTGTGGAGTTGGTGTTTAATGAGTGGGAGTCATGGGAAGTTAAATTATCAGGAAAACTAATGCCTTTCACCTCCATGTGTTCTACTTTCGGTATTGGACTGATTGGAGTCACTGCTCTTGTAAAAAGAGTTATTCAATGCAGACAATGCCCAATAATTGTAATTAATGCGCTCTACCTACTTACTAGAGGAATGAGTATAATTTTGCTGATCATAAAGTTTTAACTTCTGTGGAAAACCACTCCATGCAATAAATTCATAATTCTAGGTAATTTGAATATTATTGGTGATACTTAGGGTGGGGCAGTTCTTCAGCTTCACGTAGTGCATGTGTTCATGTAGTGCTTAATTAACTTGAGTAAATCAAACAGTATATAGTGGTTTGCTTTTCTAATCAGCATTTTCCAATCACATAAATTTTCATGATGCACCCCACTTTAGTTTTTATTCTGCCTATTTCCAGATGATTTACTCATGGGGAGAGCACTGGTTAACTGGCATATCTTTTAATGTGTCTAGTTAACTCATTGAGTGGCATTGTACCTTGATGTGCCCTACTTTAGCATTTAATGGGGTTAATGTTATCATTTTGAATATGTATAATGCATGATTTTGGTAATTTTGAAAACTATTCTTTTTGGGTTTTTGGATATAATGAATTCTTCATAAATATTATTGACTGTATTTACATCATACAGTATGTTATTTACAGTATTCAACTATCTCAAAATAAATATGTGCCAACTGCAATAGTGGGGATAACATTTAGTCACATAAACAAAACGTTCCATATTTTTATTAGAATTACATCCGCAACCAAAACCGAAAGGTAAAAACTGTTGGCCACCATAGGAAGCAAGAGGCATCATCTGTTGAAACGAGTCAACAACCAAAAGCTGATGGAGCACCAAGAAAGAGGAGAAAGTTGTCAGGAGCAAATATTTTTTATCGTGAATTTATGAGGAGTGAAGGTTGTATAAATTTTGATCAATCCATGAATACTGTAGTCAAGTAACTGGATAGGAAACTTTTGGTCATGTGTGATGTTTTCAACATGTCCATAGTATTGCTAGACTTTGTTGCATGAACATTTGTGTTAATCATTAATCATTTCAAGGGCATGGCAGTGGTTCCAATCCACCCCTGATTGTACCTTAGGCCTGATACCAGCCTGGGGCCGGTTGTATAAACCCTTAACTACATTTTGCGTAGCTAAATCTTAGTTAACTCAGAAATACATGACTCTGATTGGTCAATTCTGTCACTAACTATAGTTAAAAGTTAATTTGTGCACTTAGTACACTTACTATTACTAATTAACTACGGTATCAATTCTCAATACACAGAATCGAAAAAAGTTCAGTCCCTTGCGGAGAAAAACAAAGCTTTTTCTAAGGCATGGAAAAATATGGAAGTACATAGAAAAGAAGAATTCAACACTAGGGCAAGAAATGAGGAAAATGAAAAGGTTTCTTCACCGCAGTCAAGGATGGAAGTGGTTAATAATGCCTTGGTTAAGCTACAAGAACATGTATGTAAATCTACTTCCATATTGTTGGAATATCACATATCAGTTATACTGGCGATTTTATTACACCCCCCCCCCCCCAAGAAAAAGAGGAACTTAGATTTAAGGCAAGGCTGATATTTTACCCTTGAGATCCTCAGACCTGGTGGTGTTTTTTATTGTGATTTACATTTAAAATGCAAATGTCTTATATCTTAGATTGACTACTTGGAATCACTGGGGGTGGAATGTTGTGCCTTGCTTTTTTATGACAATAAATTAAAGCGCCTTGGGTCTGAAAATGGGAAAAGAATTGTTAACAAGCCAGCAATCCTTAACCAAATATATGCTGAGATGGCAAAAACTCCTGGTACGCAACTCAGTATATTGTTTTCATTGTATGTTATTGGTCGTGTGTATACACTATACAGTATATACTGTACCAAGTGTCAAAGTCATGGATGATAAAATAAATATGGTGATGTTATAATTTGCAACTCGGTTCAATGCCACCAGCATGCTGAAAACATCACACACAAGCATTGCAAGTAAATTTCTCCTTATTCTTGTTGTGCGTAATTTATTTTTCTTTGCATGATGTTTCTCCTTTGATATGCAAAGCCTAAACTCCTTAGGGTTGAAAAACCTGAAACTAGACAAATGGGCCAGAAAAATCACTTTTTCTGCTGCATAGTGAAAGCATCTAATCTGATGTGTTAAGATACCAATGGCAACGTGCAAATGTATTATTACATAAATTTTGATTAGTTCATTAATCACTACGTTGCAAAATCCAAGAATCATTCAATGATTCAATGTGGTTGCAAGTCTATAATTATGGATTGCATCAAACTTATTTTTTATTTTGTCATTTTTCTAAGGTGAAACTAATTTACATCGTGATGGATTGGTTACAAAAGTAAAAAATATTTTCAATCAAGCGTACGGTGAGTGTCATGCATATACATGATTGCAGTAATTCAAACTTGCAATTCAAGTATGAACCCCTATTTGAGCCTTGTTTCTTTCATTCTAAGTTAAACTTTATGATTACTTTTTAAACAATTATGATTTTTGGCACTTAACTCGAAATAGGTAAATTCTAGAGGTTGAAAGTTAAATTCTAAAGCCCTTTCAACCTCTAGAATTAACCACGCGTGCTCTTGTCTGTTACCTCTGTAGCTCAGTGGCAAGAGCATTGCATCGGCATCGCAAAAGCGTAGGTTCGATTAGCAGAGGACCGATAGTTGACTCAAATTTCCGTCAACTGTTCCTGGCTTGAGTTTGAAGTGTGGATAATTCCACTCGAAATTAAGACCCTTTCAACCTCTAGAATTTACTTTTTAATTTTAAACAAATTATATTTGTCGAATGATATATATATAGTGTACATATTTCTCTTTTAATTTTGTAGGGTTAGCGGTCGGTAAACCAGAACAAAAGATGCCATATAAGCGGATGATTAAAGGGACATCTCCATATTTTTTGCATGGATTGCCTGCTGGTCTAAAGCTGAGGAATCCAAAAGACTATGGGTCCAACCAACTAAGATCTATAGTTTCCTGTGAAAAAGCTATAAAAGTGGTAAGTGGCATCTTAACGTGCATCTTTATAGAAAATGTATTTGTTTGCTTAGAAGTAGATAAAGTTTACTAGTAAAGAGTAGATATTATAATCTAATGTATGTTCTTCACTTTGTCTGATAGATTAAAAAGCCATTGCACCAAAATCCGAATAAACAACAAGAACAGCAGCAGCAACAACTTGCCGTTGTTGGTCAACAGCCACAACAACAACATAGGCAGCAGCAAGAACAGCAACAACAACAACAGAGGCAGCAGCAAGAACAGCAGCAACCACAACAACAACAGCAGCAACCACAACAACAACAGCAGCAACCACAACAACAGCAACCACAACAACAGGAACCACAACAACAACCACAACAACAGCAACCACAACAACAGCAGCAGCAGCAATCGCAACAACAGCAACCACAGCAACAACAACAGCAGCAATGGCAACAGCAACAGCAACAACCACATGGTGTCATGAATCTACAGATTCCCAATGTTGACTACAATCCAATTCCAGGTAAATACCTATGCAAACCTTCAGAATTAAATAGCTGTAAACAGTTTAATCTAGTACAGTAGCTTGTCAGCGAAATAAAAGCATGATTGTTATAATGCAATCAGGCATTGTTTATACTATAGAACTTAAATATAACTAATCCAAGCTTGCGGCAAAAGCCGGCAATTATTTTGCTTTTGAGTGTTGACATGAATAATCAATACACTTTGCAATTTTTTAATGGTATTTTCTTGTAGGCGAGAGTGTAATTGTTATTGGGGTTTTTGCTGGAAAACCTACATTATTTGGTGCTGCTGTTGTTCTCCCCGGGCAGCAATTGCACTTTAAAGATATTAGAGAGGATTCTTGTAAAATAGCCATGGTAAAGATTACCTGCGCAGATGATGCCAGGCCATTCTACGAGGACAAAAATGGGGAAAATAGAGTAGTAGCTGGACAGATTTATGAGTGGCCTAGAACCTATCTTTTCCCTTCACAGAAAATTAACTAAATCAAATAAGCTCCTCACTTTAACTTGTAAATATATTTTTGGAATAATCAACACTGAATTTGAAGCTATTGAGTTTGTAAATATATATGTAATAATCAACATCATATGTGTGGTATTAAAATTATGCGAATTGAAATATGGTAGCATGCTTGTTTACAAGATTGAAACAAAGAAATGATTTCACTTGTTTATCGATCTGTTAGTTCTAATGGGGTTCTTTTTTAAACAGGTTGAAACAAATTGATGTTAAATTTTGACTCCTTGGGTTAAATTTCGGAAATATTTGGTCGGAATGTTGTTTTTGTGTAATATATCGTGAAAAAACACCCCATGTTTCAAAAAATGATGTATTTTTGTAAAAAACTATTACAAAATCAGGGGTAAATTTCGGAAATATATGGTATGAATGTTGTTTTTGTGTAATATATCTGAAAATACACCCCATGTTTCAACAAATGACGTTTTTTGTAAAAAATATTACAAAATCAGGGGTAAATTTCGGAAATGTATGGCACAAATGTTGTTTTTGTGTAATATATCTCGAAATACACCCATGTTTCAACAAATGACGTATTTTTGTAAAAAATATTACAAAATCAGGGGTAAATTTCGGAAATGTATGGCACAAATGTTGTTTTTGTGTAATATATCTCGAAAATACACCCCATGTTTCAACAAATGACGTTTTTTGTAAAAATAGTACAAAATCAGGGGTAAATTTCGGAAATATATGGTATGAATGTTGTTTTTATGTAATATATCTCGAAAATACACCCTGTGTTTCAACAAATGACGTATTTTTGTGAAAATATTACAAAATCAGGGGTAAATTTCGGAAATATATGGCACAAATGTTGTTTTTGTGTAATATATCTCGAAAATACACCCCATGTTTCAACAAATGACGTTTTTTGTAAAAATAGTACAAAATCAGGGGTAAATTTCGGAAATATATGGTATGAATGTTGTTTTTGTGTAATATATCTAGAAAATACACCCATGTTTCAACAAATGACGTTTTTTAAAATATTACAAAATCAGGGGTAAATTTCGGAAATATATGGCACAAATGTTGTTTTTGTGTAATATATCTCGAAAATACACCCCATGTTTCAACAAATGACGTATTTTTGTAAAAATATTACAAAATCAGGGGTAAATTTCGGAAATATATGGCACAAATGTTGTTTTTGTGTAATATATCTCGAAAGTACACCCCATGTTTCAACAAATGACGTATTTTTGTAAAAATATTACAAAATCAGGGGTAAATTTCGGAAATATATGGCACAAATGTTGTTTTTGTGTAATATATCTCGAAAATACACCCCATGTTTCAACAAATGACGTTTTTTGTAAAAATATTACAATATCAGGGGTAAATTTCGGAAATATATGGTATGAATGTTGTTTTTAAGTAATATATCTCGAAAATACACCCTGTGTTTCAACAAATGACGTATTTTTGTAAAAATATTACAAAATCAGGGGTAAATTTCGGAAATATATGGCACAAATGTTGTTTTTGTGTAATATATCTCGAAAATACACCCCATGTTTCAACAAATGACGTTTTTTTAAAAATATTACAAATCAGGGGTAAATTTCGGCAATATATGGTAAATGTTGTTTTTGTGTAATATATCTCGAAAATACACCCCATGTTTCAACAAATGACGTATTTTTATAAAAATATTACAAAATCAGGGGTAAATTTCGGAAATATATTGCACAAATGTTGTTTTTGTGTGTATATCTCGAAATACACCCCATGTTTCAACAAATGACGCATTTTTTTAAAAATATTACAAAATCAGGGGTAAATTTCGGAAATATATGGCACAAATGTTGTTTTTGTGTAATATATTTTGAAAATACACCCTGTGTTTCAAAAAAGGACGTATTTTTGTGAAAATATTAGAAAATATAGGGTGCATATGGGACATGTCTGGTAAGAATAGGTGTAACTTTTTGAAATGTGTTTTAAATATATTTAATATATCATATAAATACGTCAGATCTAGAAGACAATGCAGTACCCCCTGGGATATTTTAACACAAACACGTTTTATTAGATTGTCTGTACTGACAAAAGCTGCAGCTACGAATATGACAATAAATAAACAATGTGCGATTATTTTATTTTCTGAAATGATGTACAGAACCTTACATGCACAATTAAATCCGTGAATCGCCTAATTTGCAAGACACTGCTGCGTTCATATATTCAGGGTGGGAATTCCACAACGAATATTTTTTCTGCAAGGACTCCAGCCCTGGGAGTGGGTTTGTTCCTAGCACGCTCCAACCATTTCATCATCACTATCGTTGCCAACATTATCGCTATCACTGTCGTAACTATTCAGCTCCTCTGTTATTGTATACGAAATTTGTATTTCATCACCAACAAGTTCCCGAACATTGGTAAACGGTTGAAAATGTGATATAAGCACGCCAAGACGGATTTTCTGTTGTTCTACTTCTTGTCTTACAACAGCAATGTCGCCCATGGAATACAGATCTGTATCAACCTTCTGTAAAATTTTTATGTCATTAACATAAAATTTTACTACATTTTTCATCTCAGCCTCGAGTAGCCCCATTTCCTCCGAACATCTTTCTCTCAGTTGGTAACAGTCCAAAATTTGCTGCCTGAATGGTTGTGAAACTAAAGCTACAGCGGTTTGGGAAGTACCACGTTGTTCAAATATGAGTGAAGAGACAACGTCATTGAAGGTATATGTTTCGTATTCTGTCGTATCATCTAGTTCATGTAATGTCTTGCAAATATTTTCCCGTTCTTTTAAGGAACGCCTAATTTTCCTTGTGTGCTTTTTCACAACTCTCTCGATTCTGCTTGCTATTGCTTGACCATCTAAAAACGAAGCGTTACGTCAGTTTTTCAAACCGTACAACTACTGCATAGTTTCCCTATGTTTGAAGTGATTTTCAATATATGAGAAGCTTGATCATCTGAAATATACCTGCATATTTTTTCTTTAACTCTGTCATAAACTTGTATTCTCTAGCAGACGAGGTAAGATCACAATCGAGACTTTCCAAGCGCTTACGGTAATATAGCAACTTGAAGTGGAGGTAGTCGGGATCGGATCTTTTCCATCTAACTATCTGGAAATTTCTTTCAGTTTCCAGAAGCATTTTATCTAATCTGAATGAATATATATATATTTATTATTCATCATGAAGCAGCAGACTTCAATATCAACATTTATTTATCAATTTTTTTTAAATTACTCACTTACTAAGTGCTGTGGATGTTAATGAAAATGTTTAATATCACTTACTTGGACATTTCTTCCACGATGCTATTGTCATCTCCCGACTCTCGCAAAACACTTTCATCTCTAAAAATTATATCACCCAAATTTAAAGAATTGAAACCGTGTCGTGGGTTGAGTTTATTATAATCACATAGTTGCAAGTAAACCAACCTTAAACAATAATATCGTTGAAGCTTTCCAAAATATTGTTCCTTCCACGGCTCAAGTCGCTCTACCAGCCCAGCTACAATAAAAAAACAAGCATGGCACATTTGCTATGCTGTAAACAAGTTTCTACCCCATGGTTTAGGGCTGAGGGTTACGCTTGTAGGGAATGTTTCCAGGTATTACTGTTAGGCACATACCTTCGTTTCTACTTCTAGCGTGTTTATGAGAGAAATACTCCTTCTCCTCAGCCAGCCAAGTGTCAATATGGGACATGTCGAAGTCTAAACAATTAATAAAATACATCTAAAATGCCACGCAACAATACAAATATGACATTTTTCGTATTTTCAATAACAAACTTGATAAATCTTCATTCTTGCAGGGTTAAATAATATATTACCCGGAATAGTATCCACCATTTCATCAAATGTCTTCGTTGCCGTTTTTTGCAGTTCCATTGCACGCACCATTCGTCTCCTCAACCTTTCTCCAAGTTTTGACTTACTTTGTCGACCATAATGTAACAAGCAATCAGTTAATGCATCAATTCGCCTGGAAGGAGACATCTCCTTAGTAATTGATGCAAATCCCCTCAAATACGACCACAAACGCTCCATTACTTCACCATCAGTGAGACCGAATCCTGCTATGCGTCTAGGGCTATACATAATCTAAACGAATGAGAATACGTATAATGTAGTTGACTGTTTTTGGTTAGTTGTTCTTTTGATTCTTGCTCTGTACGAAAGAAGTGTAAATGTCTACCTGACATTCAGCTTTATGACCGTAGACATGAAATACCGGGATAGCCAAATCGATATGGTCTAAAACGTCTGAGAACTCCGCAGAATTCTAAACAACACAATATATTTCAATTCTTGAATGCTATGTAAACTTTGGATACATTTTAGAAATATGTGGTATATTCTGAGAAATTAATAAAAATATTCCGGAAAATAAAAATGAGTATATATATGACAAGTTCCATGCAATTTACCTGCAAATGGCGGTGAAGAATACAAGAAATGTCATACAAGACTTTGTAGCTAACATTCGCCTCCTTTGTTTTTGACACCATTTCCTTAATAAGCCAAACAGCGTACGAAATTCTAAATACAAGAAGCATTTTATTAATTAATATGCTGTAAATAAACTGCTTATTTAGAAAGGGGAGGGGTGAATAGTCATATTTTTCTTATATTGGTGTCCGACATAAACATACATGGACCAACTACATGCACTCCCAAATTATCACGTTTCGAGCCTACATACAACCCATGAACTTAGTTTACTTTATTTACAAGCAATTCATAAATTGTACTGTGCATAATGTACCTTTCACCATGTTTTAAATTTACAAAAGCTTTCGGAAACTCATGTCTGCATGCCCTGCCGAATATCCCCGTCTCGTCTAACCCTGCAAACCTTTGGTTCGATCGTAATGCATTTCCAGCCAAGAAATTGTTGCAATCCTACAATTTTGACAAATATTGTTTCAAGTCAAATATCATGTATTAGAATATCTCAATTTGTTTTGGAATATATATAATACATGTATAATATTCCTCAAATACTAAGGAATTGTAATTGTAAACAGTAGAAATATTGCATACACTTTCAGAACTCTTATCCTGATAATTGGCAACAAAATTATCCACTATATGCTGATCAGCAAACAGAATGCCAGTTCGTACAGGATCTAACACGCTAGAGCCAGATGATTTCTTTCTCGGTAGTCCAAAGAGAGCATCAAAAGACTCAAATGAGACACCATTCTCCTTAAAAATAATTCATCAACCAATACGAATTAATCAATATCTTCCTATTATATAAGGAAATACGAAAGACGGTAACTCTAAATTGCGGTCGTTATCCAATTCACTTGAAACAGTGATTCCATAGATCATTATGTCATTTAAGGTAGCTATTTTTTGTGTTTCTCCAGCAAATACAGGGTATTGCCAAAACTTTAAATTACCTTAGGGCATGCTGGACAAACATTTTCTCCATCGCGTTCAGGACATATATCCTTCAGTTCACGTAAGTCAAACCTAAAATGCCTAAATGTTTATTTAATAAGTGCAAAATTAATTAAATAATTAATTTAATAGGTAACATTGTATGTTTTAAAATTATAAAAAGAAAAGCCCTCTGCATTCATTCTAAAACAAGACAAAGTTTATTTAGTGTAATAAATGCATTAACAGGCCTGGAAATATAAAAATATATAGCGAGCTTATTGAGAAAGGTGGTCATCAAAATTATCTGCAAATACAATATTTAGACAGAGAATTAAAAGACAGAGAATTAAAAAAAATATTTGAGAAATTTATGAACAAAAATAATTTATTAATTTACCTAAACTCCTCAAATGCATCCAACATATTTCGATAAATTTCAATAGGCTTGTGAACAATCTAACAATGAAAAAGATACACAAAATGGAAAACAATATTGGAAACACATTGTTTACTCTTCAAAATGTCACAGTAGCTGTTTAAGATTTAATTTCTTCAATACAATTCGTGAATATTAATCAACCGCAAACAACAATTAGCTAATTATAAAAATGTGAAAATGGGAGCTTCAAAAATTTAAAGTCTGGACATCAGTTTTTAAAATACATTTATCTCATGCCAAACCCACATTCTGAAAAATTGCCATGCCCTTTTCTATAACAAATTAACCCTACTGAGCAGCATTGTGTCCTATGCAGAGTGCTGGTGCTTAATTGGTTAAACAACAATTACAGATTATTTGCTTGCATCATGAGCAGAATTGTTGAATCTTTTATACATACATTTATCGCTTGAACAAAATGTTGTCCTTCATTGTGGTAATTAATTACCACTTCATGTCTCTGAAAAAAATTTGATAACAAATAAATGAAATTCAACTTTCAAAAGAATTGATTGATACAAAATGACAAGTAGTAATCCATCTCAAGTAACATTATTGAGTATTAACTGCAAATGAGAAATATATTATCATACAACTGTACAAGTTATATATTTGCTATCATTATATGTACTTACAGGAAAATTAGAGAATGCAGGAAGGGATGCACAACATTGCTGAACAGACACCTTAGCAACAAGAAACATTTTTTCCACCAGTTCCATCAAGCCAAATGTAAAAGCCATTACAGGTTTGGTAGGAGTAGCAGGCCAGAGACCCAGCTCAACCAATGTACATGCTTCACTTTTACATCTGCAAAACCTCACTTGATACTCGTGTTGAAAACCTGTGTATCATAAAAACACATTTGTTTAGTGAAACCATACATACAGTAGTAATTATTGTTCTAGTCATCTTCCAGTATGAAGCATATAAAACCTGATCCACAACCAACCTTTTTTATCAGTGATCAAAACAGGTTTAAAATATTCCAAGTCAGGAAATTCGCAATGATGATGTGGATTTATTAGCTTTGGTGTTTTAATTTTAACACTAACAAACATGTTTTCCTATTAAAACAATAAAATAGTCTACTTTACTTCAATTATATCAAAAAATTAATTATGGGAAAGACTTTGTTACTGAAAACTTAAAAAGAACTTTAGGTCTTTTTAATCACTTAGAACTACTCTCAAAATCATACTTTCATAATTGATTAATCACTGTCAAGAATCAATTAAGAATAATAAATTGGCAAGTAATGATAATTGGGAGCAGCTCTGTGTTAACTAGATGTGTGGGCCATGTTAAGCGACACTGTGCCAGCCCTTGCCCTCTGATGAGCAATACTGTCTGGCATTAGACAGAGTATAATACTAAGGTAGGGTACACATTGCATGAGAGATGGGGCTGTTAACCTATTATTACAGCATTCACTCTTGATGAGTAAAATTGCCTTGCTATAAACAGAGAATTATACTAAAGTCTCAGGCACATCAGTGCACAATGCAGAGGCAGAGACAGAATGATAATTGGGGTTGGGGGGGCCCGGGGGTGTTGGTTGGGGGGGGTGTTGGTTGGGGGGGCAATATTCATATATTTGTGTTCTGCATTATTTATTCCTTTTGAAGTCAATTATTATTACAATATAAAGTTAACATGAATGACTGAAATGGGTTGCAGTTGGCCTACTTTACCTGCCATTTCTCTGGTGTATGAAAATAATTTTTCGTGTTGTGAACTTCGACCAAGCACTTGCAGCAAAAGAAAGAGTAAGGCCCACAGTCTTTACACCGAAATTCTGGATTTTCAGACAAGCAAATGCAGCAAAATGCTGTGTGAGGAATACAGCTTGACAATCTGAATGCCCTTATCAAATATTCTCGCTCCTTTCTCCACGACGAAAGAAGTCTCAACTTTCTTTTGTTGTGCGACGAAAGGCTTTCTCCTTCTTCGTCTGATTTCTCTCCAAAAATACTCGTATCGTCGCACAAATGATCTGCTTCATGATCGCTTGTCTCATGAACATGTGCGTCGCTAGATTTTCCTGACACATCTTCGCTGCTACAACACCTAAGAAAGCCTGTAAAATCTAGCTCTAAACGCTTGTTTTCCTCAACAATCTTCCCCGTGCGACTAACGCTTAACTCGTCGAACTCGAAGCTTCCCAAATCCTCCAAAAAGTCTTTGGTTTTTTTTCTTTTTGGCATACTTCAACTCGATAAAGCGCAATTCATGTAAATATTACGGTAAGGCAACGAACATGCAAACGGCATAATTTGCGGTTTTATGCATGAGAGGACTCGAGGGGATCCCATGACGCAGTATATATACTGACACGGCCAATGATTTTGTCAGTATATATACTGGTGATTTCATGTGCATCGGGTGCGTACCCAGGGTCTTTTGAGTAAAGACCCTGGGTACGAGGTTGGCATGCCAACTGATGTACATAATTCATCCGTGGACCGTGTAACCCAGGGCTTCTCGGTCAAAAATCAAGTTGTTTTGGGTTACCTGTAGAAATGCCAACTTCTGTCGCTCAAAACTACGACTACTAAATAAAAGGAAACAAGACGCCTGCTCAAGGCGTTCACTCCGCCTGCATGCCAACTGATGTACCTAATTCATCCGTGGACCGTGTAAACCAGAGCTTCTCGGTCAAAATGTTTTGGGTTACCTGTAGAAATGCCAGCTTCTGTCGCCCAAAACGACGAAAAGGAAAAAAGACCATGGCATTTTAAGACTCCGCTGCGCATACGCAGGCGGAGTAATTATGATTTGAAATGATTACAAATGGTTCTATGACGTCGCTCTTTGTTAAAAGTGAAAGTTGTTCGATAAAACAACAGAATCGTAGTAATAAAGCCTTCCGAGCAATAAACTATAGTCATATATTATGTATTTAGATATTAGATATTACCAATACTAGGCATAGATAATAACAAGTCGAAAATAATTTCATGAAATATTATTACCTTGCTTCGCTTGAAACCGACACGCTATATTGATTGCAAAAACAACTTTCACTTTTCACGAATGACTTGACGATAATAAAGCCAATAACCGGTTCCTCGGATTTAAAATGGTTTCGTTGGTAGATTTGAATTCTAAACAAATTTGAAATTTATATCCAATACCATAGTTACTGAGGTACTTTGAATTTCCGTTGGATCCGCCGCTCAACACGAGTTATATTCAACATTGTTAACGTTTAATTTATTAACGTAAACGCCTTTTTTTACATTGCAAGCATATATTATAATCTTCTAAGAATGTTGTATGCTATATACTTATTTCAATACCTCAAAATCATTTTAAAATCATTTCATGCATTTCGTTGCTAAGCTGGAATCTTATAGAGAGCCCTAAAGAGACAAATAGGTCTCGTCTCTGTGAAATTTTAAGCTGTCATCAGTACAAAATTAACGGATTACTTGAATGTATAAAAGTTGGCAACATGATACTGGGCCTGTAACCCGATCAAATATCAGACGATTTACATATTAAACACCGCTTTTTATATATTTTAGCTGTGATTTCAGCAATGGTCAAGTGAATGAAGTGTTTTATACCGTAGCCAAATTAGAAATTTATTTTTATCTAGTTGTAACAGTTTGTTCAGGTATATTCAACGTTAAAGAGCTCGCCGGAGTTGCATTGAAATGACTGTGTTAGGCTTGTCTAGAAGAGGACAACTCGCTGTTCTTGTGATCGCAGGAATTACGTTGTTTATTTTGGGATTTCTCATCGGCTTCTTCACTGCTCCAGACGACGAGAAATCACCTGAAACACCACGTTCATTTCAAGAAAAACGCGAAGAGGAACGAAAGAAAAAGGATGCATATCACAGCAAGCTTTACCAAACCCTGGACAAGAAGGAAATAGGAAAGTCCTTGAAGTAGGTTAACTAACATTACTCTTGTAGACGGCTAGATCAATAAATCTCTCTTGCTGGGAAACCCGCATTACTTACAGCAGGAAGAATATCTTTCTATTATCTTCATCATAATCTATATCGCTTATCAGGATGGAGTTACAACAGGTTATAATAGCCTAATGCTCGTAAACAATCTACATTTTGCACAAGCAAAGGGAATAGTTAAACAATATGCCACGGTTTATTACTGTTTTGTAATTAAACCCTTCTGTTATCAAAATATTCGATGCCTATACAATATTTGTTGTAAATATCCGGAAATTTAGCTGAAAAGGTCGAACCCTCGGCATCTCTTGACTAATTACCGGCTGCGTACGAGAATATAAGCTTCATTGCTTGATCTCTGTATGTTCTCGAGAGATCGACTTGTTTATGCGGTATGTCGCAATCTCCTGATTGTCCTCTTGCCTCCTTGACCTTATGTTTTTTTATTCAAAAGGTTACCCCATCCTGAAACCAAAATCCTGACAACTTTGTTAAATACACCTTCCATCTTCATCGCCGTTCCTGAATTGTGTTTTTGCGTTTTTCAAAAGGTACTTTTCTTCCCGACCTCATGTTCCAGGGACTCCAAGAACCAAAGAGTTGGCAGTCGAAATCGCCCGGCTTTGGAGGGAGTATAAATTCGATGAAGTTGAGATGCCAAAATACAATGTCCTTCTACCATACGTCAATCCAAACATCTCAAACAAAGTGCAAATTCTGGATTCTGGCAGAAAAGTATTACGCGAGTTTTCTGGGAAGGAAGAGGTAAGTCAAGCCCATTAACAAAAGAATAAATCTATTACCTTAAAGATACTTTACTGTGGCATTCGCTGGTAATTCAACCTTTTCTTTTTATTTTTTTTTCCTCGATGTCCCAAAGTTGGCAGATCCAAGTGAGGATGATGACCAAATGATTCCTCCATTTCTGGGCTACTCGAAGCAGAGTTCGGCAAGTGGCAAGTTGCTCTACGTCAATTACGGTCGAACGGAGGATTTTGAAGTCCTGAAGAAGAACTTCGGCATTCCAAACTGTAACGGGCGCATTGCTATCATGAGATACGGAAAAATTTTCAGAGGCTCCATGGTATGAAACTATATTCGATCGATCGTTAGTAAAAGATGAAAATCAATCGATAGGAAATTTAGCATGTTTACAACAGACCATATAGGTTGCAATTAAATCATTTCATCTTCTGTAGGATGTCAGTTTTGCATTCTTTACATCTCGCCTAGTACAGATGTGAGAATACCATTGCTCTGATGACCTTTTCAACGTTGTTCAAATCCTTTTTCTTCTATTTCAGGTCAAAAACGCGCATGAATGCGGTGCTGTTGGCGCCATTTTGTACAACGATCCAGCAGATTATGCTCCTGAAGGTCAGGACAAAGTTTATCCCAACTACATCTGGCTACCGAAGACCGGCGTGCAGCGAGGTAGCATTATCACCACTCGTGGAGATCCGATCACACCTGGTTTGCCGTCTATCGACGGCGTGTTCCGAATATCTCCCAAAGACGCAGGTCTTCCACAGATTCCAGCGACGCCTATGCCTTACGGAGACGCTGTAAACATCTTAAAAATAATGAAAGGTAGTTTAAAGTTGAGGATATCTTGTTATTGTAAGCTAATGAGTGGATAATTGTAGATATCTTATCTAGAAATTGGAGTTTTGAATATTCTTAAGGTCGCGAGGTCCCGACGAGTTGGAAGGGCACATTGAATATCACCTACAGACTGGGTGATGCGGGGATAGAAGGGAACAATAGCATACGAATTGAAGTTAATTTTCCCAACACACGACAGGATATATACAACGTCATCGGAACCATTTATGGTAGTGAAGAACCGGATCGTTGGGTACTGATAGGGAATCATAGGGATGCTTGGGGATTCGGTGCTGTCGATGCTTCCAGTGGTACAGCAACCATGATGGAAATCTCACGCGGGTTGAGTATGTTATTGAAGCAAGGTAAGACAGGAGGGGGAATAAGGATATTTAGGGGATCGAAGGGATAATGGACTACCAAGGTCTCGATATGAACCTGAACCTCACTTGAACGGTTGAACCACTGATAAAAATGCTTTAATGAAACCAGCAAAGTTTGTTTCTTGCTAGTACTAGCCTTAAAGCTAGATTTTCTTCTTTTGATAGATGTTAACGAGTGAATTAGTTACTGATGTTCAAATATGACTTATAATATAGCAGAGCAATCGTAACTAAGTACTCGTTCACATCTATCAGAAGAAGAAAATCGCACTTAAAGTTTCAGCAAAAATCCTAAGTGTGAACTTGACTTTAGAGGACTTGTCCACGACTTGTCTGTGACGGAAAGCATAACAAATTCAATTTATTCACCGACAGGCTGGCGTCCACGTCGCACTATCAAATTCTGCAGCTGGGGCGCCGAAGAAGCGGGCTTGATTGGCTCCAACGAATGGGTCGAGGAACACGAACGAGCATTATCAACAAAAGCCGTCTCTTACATCAACGTCGACGTCTCTGTCGGCGGAACCTACGTGCTTCATCTTTCAGGATCTCCATTGTTGAAAACAGCGCTCATTGAGACTGTTAAAAATGTTCAAGATCCTCATCTCAATAGCCCTGGATTGCATCAAACGGTCTATGAAAGAATGCTGGAAAAAAGGCGAGGGAAAGATGGTGAAATTATGTTCCCAAGTCTAGGTGCGGGGTCGGATTATGCCACTTTCTACCAGTTCGTTGGTAAGAATTTATTGAAATATTTATTGTCTGATATTTCACGAAATTTGGGTACCTTTCGTAGTCAATGTGAGACATCAGACCTTCCGCGAGTGACGACATTGTTGAAAAAGTCAATTCAGTATATTTTTATCTCAAAGACCATGTGGTCAGACTTTGTCTTAAATCCCAAGATAAAACATTTCAGTTGAGGTATAATTCTGTGTCCGACTTTGAATTCTGTCTTTAGGAGTACCGTCGTTAGATATGTCTTATTATGGTGAAAGATTGTATCCAATATACCACAGTGTTCATGACACGTACAAGTGGCTTCAAGGTTTAGTCGACCCAGACTTCTCCTACCATCTCACGACAACTCTGGTCGCTGCAAGAGCTCTGATGTCCATCGCTGACGACATCGTGTTACCCTTTGATGTCGTTCAATACTCGAAGACTTTGAGACGTTCTTTTCAAATCTTGAATGACAATCATGGCGCGGAACTTCGGCGGAATAACATCACGTTAGATTACGTCGATGCTGCTGTTACAAAGTACGTGGGTGAAGTCACAATCCATTAGTAACGTATGGTGCCGTATGGTATTGTATTGTGCTGTATAATAGTACTGTATAGCCGTTTATAACGTTCCATAGTAATTGCCGTATATTAACTGTGCAGTACCACACTATACAGTACATCAAAGCACAGTACAGAACATCAGAGTACAGTGCTGTACAGTACATTAAAGTACAGTTTAGTACATCAAAGTACAATGCAGTACAGTACAGAGTACAGTGCATCAGAGTACAGCTGTAGAATACATTGAAGTACATTACATTACAGTACATTACAGTACATTGCAGTACATTGCAGTAAACTGCAACACACTACAGTACAGTGCAACACAGAACAACACAGTACAACACACTACAACACAGTACAACACAGTACAACACAGTACAACACAGTACAACACACTACAACACACTACAACACACTACAACACACTACAACACAGTACAGCACAGTACACATCAGAAATCAGTTCTCCTTCTTATGCAGATTTCACAACGCGTCTCTGAAGTTCCAGAAAGAGGTGGAAACAGCCGTGAAAAGTATGAACGACATTCAACTACGTGATCTAAATGACAGAATGGTGAACGTGGAAAAATCTTTCATTTACAGTTTTGGTCTTCCAAATCAAAGCTTCACTCGACATGTTATTTTTGCGCCACCATCCAACAACAACTATGGCAGTGCGCATTTCCCCGGCATTATTGATCTCATGATTCCGAGCAATGAGACTTCGAGAGACTGGGGAGAAATAAGAAAGCAGGTTTCTGTTGTATTTAAGTCGATTATGTCAGCGGTAGAAAGCTTGAACAAAGACGCTAAAGATTGACACTAGAGGTTAGGACTTCGGTGACTTGTAGTTCTCAGGTATTAGATTACATAGACATAATTTTAGGCCTTAAATGAACTTGTTAAAAGCCATGCTTGTTGGAGTGTTCAAGCTTAACTGCAAGTGGCCTTTGCCTTCCTCCTGGTAACATGTACTTTTGACAATTATTGTTGGATTTTTTCTACTACTTACTCCAGCTACGTACAAAGATCATACTGCGTGAGCGTCACGCAAGGATCACGCACGCGGGAAAAACATACGAATATGGCGGGGAAATGGGGCTTTAATTTGACAGAAAAATAACATTTTGGAATGGTTGTTGTCTCCGTATAAAATTTTTTTGCGGCGACTGATTTTTTATAGACCAATCGCTTCGTGTCGCGCGAATAAACTAGCCTAGTGAAGAAAAATCAATCATTTTCATCAATCTAGGAATTTAAAATTCAAATTAGGGCAATACAATTGTCCCAAGCTTTGCTCTTCATTCAGCATATGTATACTCATGAATAATATATTATTCATGAACTCATTAGTAAAATCGAAAGTAACCCTCGCTTTGGGGTTTCTCAGGTATCCACCCAGTTGATGAGCGAAGCACAAAGAAACACAAGGGTATTATTATTGATGTATGAACGATCCCAAATGTCGTCCAGAAGTGCGTAGTAAACTGCCACTGTATGCTTGCAAATGTTGTATGAAAGTTTAATTGTGTAGCAAAGATCAGAAGGCCAGCGAAATTCAGTGAAAGGACGAGAATTTAAGTGTAAGTAGATTGATCGCTTCTATGAATTCGATAATTATTAAGAGCTGTTGTCTTCATGTGTTATCCCTTGTAAATATTATAGTGAAATAAGCCTATAGACTGAGTATAGTATATATCTACTACCATTTTGTAAAAAATGCTTTTCGTTTCCGCGCTTCGTTTAAAACCGCTATATAATATGTTATAGGCTATCACGTACGTCTTAGCCGTCTTGCATGCACCGCAACATCTGCATATCGAGGACAAAGGCCAGCTGCAGTTATTATCACTATACTGCACGTATTACATTTATATACGAGTGATAATATACGAATGCTTTTATTCTGGCGTTTATTGTATTGCCTATTGGTTTTCATCCCCAAGGTTACTAATAACTAACCTATATACAAGCATGTATGTGCCAGTTTGTTCTTTTATTTTAGCTCTTTAATCTTTATGAATAGCTGAAATAGCTGCTAGAGATTGAGATATTGTACACAAAGTCGAAGGCTTTCGAAGAAGACACGTCGTCTTTCGAAGCCAGCAACACAAATGATACAGAATCACTAGATCAAAAACGTGGCTTCATTGCCACTGCATGCATGGCAACGGCAAACAAAGAGTCTTCGTTTGCCGTCTGACATAGCAACTAAGGGCGCTTTCCTTTATAACGGCGGAAAAAACGGCCAAATCGGTCCTGTTGTACTTCAGATTACTGGTATTTTAGTATGTTTCAAGAACTCTGCATTCAAGTATATCGTTATTTACATCTGACTATAGCACGGGAAATGCAGTTTCATCGCTATAGTCTTACGAAATACTCGATTTCAATTTAAAATATGACCGGTCTGACCATTTTGGCTGCTTAATGGAAAGCGCCTTAAGTGATCTTTTATTTTCAAAAATATAATAAACATAGTGAAATATAATAAATATAATGAACGAAATATGATAAAAAAAGCGTTCTATAAAGTTTCAGGGAACGAAAATTTTATCGTCTAACAACTGCCAATAAAGGATATTTGCACATGCATGCATGCATGGTAACGCCAACGCGGTCGAGCGTTTTCATGCCAAAACGGTTTCAAACACCGTCAATTTACAATAGAAGTTGAAGTTAATTTAACACGTTCAGCATATTTTTTCTTGGGTTGTATGAACAGGGCGTCTAAACAATAAGATAGACCTGAAAAACGATTTGAAAACGCCAAAATTTTGTAAGTGTCTTGTTATATCTGTGTGTGTGTGGGCGGTTGCAAGATTCCGCGAATTATCAAAGACATTCCTGGTAATATCAAATCATAGGTGATATCAGTTTGTTTAGTTGAATATCATCAAGCATAGGCTCTACTAGTGATTTTGTAAATTCTAGGGGTTTAAACGGTCTTCACTTCGAGTTGAATTATGCACACTTCAGGCAGTTAATTGTTATACCATATTTGGTGCAAAATATTTATATATAAATTACAGTAGAATATTGCAAACAATGAACGACTCAATTTCTATTTTGCAGCAGCATGGAAGGAGAAAAAGGAAAAAATTATTCAAACCACCCAAAATCAGAAAAGTTACCAAAGGAACATGTGGACGAAACTGGTATAGTTCATGTAACGAAAATATTATCTACTGTATCGTTAATTACTGATAAAATCATCTTCTCTAGTCTGAAGCTGCATCGCTTTGAGTCAAAATAGACCTATGAGAAATATTCCGACCAATTTGCCCTATTTAAAAGCGCGCTTTCCTGTATATGGTAAAAATTGCCAGAATGATTGAATTTCAGTACAGATAGGTTTCTGCATTCAAGTTTATCGTTATTTTTGGTTTATTTCGACTTGAATTTTGCCGTTCGCGGCCTTCGTGTAATATGAGAGTTCTGCTGTATGTTGCGAAACCAGATTTTGTCAGCAGCATGTTAAAAAGCTAGATTAGTTTATAATGATAGATATATATTCAGTTGAAACAACTTATTTTCCTTTTTTAATGCATTTGGCCCAAATGCATGAAGTTTGAAGTTTGCACCAAGCTTTATTTTCTGATTGTAGCGCCAGCTGCAAACTTCTCTGGTAAAGAATGTCCTCCTGGTTCAAAAACAGGCGGAAATCAACCAGGCATCCAATCTAGATCTACAGATACCTTAGCAACACCTGCCGAATCTGAGGCCACAAAAACACACGATACATGCTCAACCTCTAGCACTGCACTATCAACACTCCGGGCTGATCTTAATTTAAAACCTAAATATTCTTTAAAACAAGCACGAACAATCGATAACCGTACACTTACCGATGATCAATTAACCTGTTTAGATCAATATATTTTCAATAAACTCATGATAGCTGATCACAATGTTCTTGAATTACCTTTAAATAAATGTAAAACCAACAATAATTACGACTCTGATGACAGCGAGGATGAAGTTGTTGATGCCGATGAAATTGTAGTCCATCCGATGGATGCATTGATTAGTATTTTTTACGGTTCCGATATTTCTTTACGACGTTATCTTGCTGTAAAATTGTCTGAATGTCAACTTAGTGTTCCATTTCTTCTGCCCAATCTTGAGGAGACATCGGAAAAAGTCACAATTTTGCTCTCAGCTCTAGAGAATATCACAAAGTCTTGGAGTAGTGGTTTAGATGACAACAAAAACGTACGACATGTATTTGCGACAGAACATCAATTTCCTGTGGTTTCTTTCATCCGTATTGACCAAACTACCATGTCAAAATCCTCCTTGATTAACAAAATAATGAGCGATGGAAGCACAGACCATAGATTTTTCTTCCACAAAGATATGAAAGGTGGCAATATCGAAAGAAAAGTTGTCGATGGTTTGGTCGAATTGAGCTGGTATCTTCCTGGTGAGAATCGTGAACAAATACTACAACAAGAAATTTGTTTTGCAAATCTTCGGGGTGACGCTGCAAATTTCAAGATCCAGCTTAATGTAATATTGAAAATTTCGTCCGTTGTATGTGTAGTGCTACCCTCGGAGTGTCCTGTTGAAAATTTGACGGATATTATTGAAAAGGCTACTGTTAGCGGAGCAAAACTCGTTGTCATCTTTTGTGAAAAGGCGCATGCAAATGAAAAATCACAGATGCACATAAATGCAGAAGCACATAAAAAATACTTAAAAGAATTAAAAAATAAATACGGTAAAATGGTTTCTTTGATAACGAAAGCCAAAAAACCCAATGAATATGATTTTCTTCAAACTATTCGAAGAAGCATTCAAAAGAATATAAACAATGTGACGGCAAAGCCTCTGGTCGATCTTGCATCTTGGACAAGCGAATCTGGGATTCAACATGATGAAAATCAAACAAACACACTATTTTCAAAAGGTGCAGACAACTGGTTGAAAATGAAGATCGAAGATGCTAAAGACCTTCTTAGTTTGCAAAAGAACGTACCTGAATTCGCAAAATTGGAACGTGAGTTACATCGTCAAAAACATCGTGATGGCAAATCTGTTGAAGAATATCAAAACGAAATACAGGAAAGAATTGGGGAAAACGAGTTAGCTCGAAAAGAATCTTTCAGACATCTAGATGAAAGGATTATTAATTGTTTCAAATCTTTGGTAAATATGAATGAAACGGAGCGAAATCAAGCCTTGAATAAAGTAAAGCATCAGTTGGATAAGACGTCTTTGGAGGTCATTACAAAATTGCACCAAGAATATTGCACTCTCTCACTTGATCTACAACGGCAGGAGACACGAAGAGACAAAGGATTGAAGACAATAAACACACAAGCGCCTGAAGAGAAACGTTTAAAAGAATTGGAGGAATCGATCTCAAAACACTCGTTTGGTTTAGAACACATCATCAGAGAACTTGCTCAGCTTTACGAGATTGAAGGAAGCAAATACGACTATGCAGGTGTTGCAGCGGAAATGTTGCTTTCAGGACAACCTCTCGAGATACTCGATGGAGATTCATTTTACATTCCACCGCGATGGCTTGATGCTGTGTTTGATAAGCTGGAGGATAAAACGAAAAATGCCAAAATATTTATCATTTCTGTCGTAGGAATCCAAAGTTCAGGTAAGTCTACAATGTTAAACACAATGTTTGGTTTAGAATTTCCAGTCAGTGCCGGAAGGTGCACTCGTGGCGTTTTTGCCAGTCTTATTCCTGTCAGTGATTCGTTGAAGACTGTGTCAGAGTTTGATTACGTTTTGGTAATTGATACTGAAGGTCTAAGGGGATCAGCAGATCCTCAGTTGCGAGTACATGATAATGAGTTGGCAACCTTTGCAATTGGCGTTGCAGATTTAACCATTGTCAATATCTTTGGTGAGAATCACAATACGATGAAAGATTTCTTGGAAATTGCTGTGCATGCGTTTTTGAAAATGAAGCTTGTGGAGGAAAAAAAGAAAAAGTCTTGCAAATTTGTCCACCAAAATGTCACAGCCACTAATGCAACAGAGAAATTGGTTGGGAACCGTTTTAACCTCAGACAAGGTCTGGATGAAATGACGAAACTTGCTGCAATTCAAGAAAAATGTGAAGACAAATACAACAAATTTAATGATATCATTTCATTCAATGAAAACGAAGATGTGTTCTATTTACCCTCTCTTCTGAAAGGAAATCCGCCAATGGCTCCAGTGAACCCTAAATACGGAGAAGCGGTTCAAAAAATAAAGAAAGAGGTGATTGCCGTGATGTGTTCAAAACGAAGCGCATATCACAGTGTATTTCAATTTCGAAGGAGGGTCATCAATCTTTGGAAAGCGATTCTAAAGGAAGATTTCATATTTAGTCTCCGTAATACGATCGAAGTTAGAGCTCGCATGTCTTTAGACCGAAAATATTTCGAGAAATCCGTAGCTATTATGGTAGCAGGAATGGCCGAGCTTGAAAAAAGAATTATGGTAGCTCTAGAAAGATGTTCAGCAGCAGATGAGCGTGAAAAGCGATGGGCAGACAGTAGAACGAAAATAGATGAAGAAGCTGAAGATCTTGCAGGGGAAATGGCGCAAGAAATGAACGAATTCTTCGAAACGGATGAAGATAAGACAACTGTTGAACAGTGGAAAGAACACATATTGACTAAAATTAAAGAAGAGAAAGAAATACACATCTTAGAAGTAAAGAAGAAATGCTTGTCAACTTTTAATCACTTGCAGAGAGTACAAGATATCAAAGATAAGGGACGCACCTATGAAGAAGAGCTTCTAGAAAATGCTAAGTCGTTTATTACTTCAGCCTATGATATTGAAGATGCGGAAAAAATGAATGAAGATTTCGAAGAACAATGGCAGAAGTGGATTGAGAAAGTTCCACCTTGTCAAGAAATAAAGATTGATATAAACAAAGAAATTGTAGATTATCTTTCCACGAAAGTTCCTGTCCTAAGTCAAGAAATCAGAGAAAAAATAAATAAACAAGGTCATATTATATCAAATTATCTGGACAGCAAAGGCGATATTTTTGTTGATGACCTTACTTTTGAGATTAATTGGAAGGGATTTTTTAAAATGGCTCCGTCAGTGGTGCAAAATGCAGAAAAATCAAGACATCTCCCTGACGCTAAACGCATAAGAAAATTTTCGATAACGAAAGCACTTCATTTAGCGAGAAGTGCTTCTTCAGAATCGGGGATTAGGTTTAATTGCAATTACATCATACAAATGACCCAGATTGTGATTACCACCATAGAGGAAGCCACCAAGAAGTTCCCCTTCAAATTCAAGAATTCTTTACAATGTGATACTTTGCTTCACACTTTTGCCAAGGCTTACCCAATCTTTCACGAGATGGAAGAACGCTTTTGTCAAGAACGAGACATTAGGAGTCAGATGGAGAAAGACCTGCGTCCAAGATTGGAACAATACTTCCTTAATGTTTGCACAAAAATGGGAAAGGAAATGCTAGCAGCTACTTCGTTTTGCGACGTTCTTGAAAACCAAATTGAATCCGCACTAAATTCGTCTATGGGCCCTCTAGTGACAAGAAAAATATCGAAGGAGAATAAGTTCCAGAATAAAAGTCAATTTCATGCCCGGGTCCTCATTCAGCTTGGAGAAGATGGTAAGTTTGGACCATACATTCCTTATCTTGAAAATCAGCTTGGATTTCTCAGAACAAAATTGATGGAATCAATTGAAAAATTCTGTTTGGAAAGAATTCCTGCCTCTGTCGACTCACTTCTCAAGAACGAAGTCAAAAGGTTCGAAGACGAAGTTTTGTCTGCTATTTCAAAGGCCAGTGACGAAACAGAAAAGATGAATACACAAGCAACTGGAAGCAGAAAACTCGACTTTTGGATTGAACGCTTTGTGGAAGAGTGCCCTTCCTTGGCTATAAAGAAAGAAATGTTTAGTGTGGCTACAATGGAAAATCTGGAAAATATTGATCTGTTCAGGAATGAAGTTAATGAAAAAGTATCTAGTCATTTCGAATCTTTAAACAAGCTTGTGGTTGATCTCGAAATGTTTCGACAATGGAATCCTTCTCCAGTGGATTGTTTGTCAAACACTATGTTTTCTTGCATATGTTCTTGCCCATTTTGCGAGACTTTATGTGATCATGCCATCCCAAATCACGATGTTCACTCTGCACTCTCTCATCGCCCACTGGGAATAATTGGTTACAAAGAAGAAAAAACACGAAAATTGGCTACTGATGATTGCACAGAGCGCATCGGTGGAGGGAAGCGTTTTCAAAATCCAGATACAGATTGGGAATGGCATCTTTACAAGGAGTATAGATCCGTGAATGATTACTATAAATCTTGGAATATTTGTAAAAATTCAACGAATAAACAACGAATGTATTGGCAGTGGTTCATGGCAAAATTTTCACATGAATTGGCTAAATTTCACGGAGCCGAGATGCCCTACAAGACATTTTGGAAGCGTATTATATTCGACAAGGTGAAAAAAAATCTTCAAGAGGAATATCTTCTGTAAATAATCTTCGGTATCATACGATGTTGTCATATATTAAGATGAACAACAAACATGTATTTTTTTCTGTTGTTATAAGATAATTGCACTTAGTATGTCACTAATAAAGAAATATCTCTATTTTTTTCAACGATTGCGTTAAGAAGTCGGCTATTTAAGTCACAAATAATACAAACGATAGTATTGATCAATATACTCCAACTTTGATTTTCTCAAGAATCTCGAACTGAATTATATAATAATTTAGGCTAAACGCATTTAGCTTTTAAAAATAATTCTAAAACATCTATTCAACATGATTCAACATGATTCAACTGTAGTCTAAATAATCGTGTACAGGAAAAGGTGATCATTGAATAAATTCTAGCGTATATCTTATGTGGTTAAAAAATATACTCAAAATTACCTAAGTTAATCACAGTACAGCCCGGTATAGTTCATGCACCGCAAAAATTAGTAATCATGCACAAATACTACAGTAATTTTTACAAATACAAGCAGAAAAACAAGCGTAAATCGAGATAGTTCTGTTATGAAGTGCCTGGAGTTCTGGCTTTGCAATTGAAACCGACAATGAGACGGACCACGGCTGGTGGAAAACGTAAAGTGAATCAATTGTATGCAGAAGAGATGGGTTCTTCTGAAAAAGAAGGAAAATGAAACAGTAGGGAAAGTAGGACTTTATACCTCAACTATATATACACATATATATTGACAGCCTAAAAATTTCTGTATGGCAATAATTTAGATCGGTATAATTTTAAACTCAATATAGTGCACGTATGGTTTGAAGTTTGTAGAAAAGAAACTTTATTACAATTTCAAATTCTATATAGTAAGATATATTCAAGTAATCAACACTAGCGTGTATACTGAATGGTATGTTAAATAAGTGCAGATCGAATTTCTTGCAAAATTGATGCTTTTCTTTTGAAATTGCTTATCGTGCATGCTATCAAAGAAACAGTCATCAATCATTCTTTATCCATCTACAAATTTTTGTCGAAAAACCTTTTTTGTAGTTTTCTAAAATAATGTTCTTACTTTTCCAGCAAAAATTGCCAGGTCAAACCAATTCTTTCAACCAGCATGCGCCAAATTGCATTTCAGTTTATCAGTTCTATCACAACATTCTACGAAACACTTAATGGTCAATATTTTTGCCTTCACCCAAGTAAAATGCAGAAGTCTCTATCGCAGAAGAAACTATATATGTTCGTTAGAGCATCGTGAATTTGAACAGTTATGGTTGTCGTGAAGAATATCATCAACTTGTACCTCAAAACGTTTACAAAGTCATCGAGTTATTTCATTGAAAAGAGTACGTACTGCAAGGTGTAGTTCAATTGAAGATTGAAGAATCATTCACAGTAGCGTTGGAATGAATATATCGTGGTAGCTTTCCGAAGAATTACGAATGAGTCATCAGACTCATCACATTATAATTCATATAATATGATTCACTCGTACAAACCGAAAGATGATGTCTTTAACCGCCAAAGATGAACGCCTAATGTTGCCTATGAAAAAAGCATACTTCAAAGTTCAAAGCAACCAAAACAGATTGAAAACAAACTTCATCTTGCATACTATTAAATTAATGGGTCGAAAGTCAATTCACTCGAAATCGATAAAAAGCAAACTCCATATATTTCGAGCAGCAATGCATGGATGTATATGTTGAAGACGATGTTTAACTGATGTACATGGCAATGAGGCCGAACAACAAACTTATGATCAAACGTGTGCCAAGGACTGATCTCGTCCAAACAAATGGAAGAGATAAAGTGAAAATGAAAAAGGACGAAATTGTTGACCAAAACAGTGATAGCTTATGGATGTTGTGGTAGTCGACTTTACAAATTCGTATTCTTTTTTGTCTGTTTTTCTATTTCATTCAGCGCCTGGTAGTTTGTGCAGGAAGAGTTTCCAAAATTGTTGTCTAGTCTGCAAATTATTCCTCGTTTAATATGACATTTTGAAAAAGTCGTTGCGTTAAATAATTATTTTCGGTACAAAAAATTCCGTTCAATGTATTAAATTTAACATACCATAAATACCGCTTCCTTTTGGATTGAATATTATAGGGTAATATTAAATAGTATTTGTCAGTATAATCTTATTAGTTATGATAGATAAATACCAATTGCATGCAATATAATCGTAGATGTGTTTTCGTGTATCCGTCGATAAAAAGTAATATTAAAAACATGATTAGTTCTATTGGTTTCTTCTTTTTAACTCTTAAAAGTGTCAGTCATGATCACAAAGAACACGGTTAAATGTCCAATAAATGTCCGATCCTCGAGACCTCGACTCTTCCCGAAGTGACCCTCGACACTTGAGGTTGTACCCACGACGCTCGAGAGATGACACTGATCTGAATATTGCAACTGATTGTTGTCTGAAGATGCCTTTGAAATAGTCAAAAATTTACAGTTTCGACCTGTGTCTTGCTTGATTCATACTTTGACTCTCAAGATGTCTTGTTTATTCGGAATTTGTTTTTTACTCTATTTTTTTAAATTGTCGGTTGGTCATGGTTTTTGATTGTTGAATGTTTGCTAACATTTACTCCAGTCACTCCAGCTACGTACAAAGATCATACTGCGTGAGCGTCACGCACAGTGGTCACGCAAGAATCACGCACGCGGGAAAAACACGAATATGGCGGGAAAATGGGGCTTTAATTTGACAGAAAAATAACATTTTGGAATGGTTCGATGTTCGTTCAATATTTTCTAAAAAGCAAGACAGAGAAGCAAGATTGTTAGCACGATGAAGCGGAAAAGAGTTGAGGTTGTAAGTAGACTAGTTAAGAATATTCATGTTTGCTTTTAACCATGTTAGATCAGATCTAGGCCTGAATATTCGTCCACGAGTTCACCTCCAAAGTTGCAAATTATTGCATCTTGTAAGAAACGTATTAAAGTTCATTGCTTGGGTTTTACAGAATGATGGCTTATCTGATTACGAGAGAAAGAGACTTGAAAACATCAAACGGAATCATGAAATGTTGAATCTCTTGGACATTGATATGGTACGTATGATACTGTATTGATTTGAATGAACATCATTACGCTGAGGTTTTGGTTTAAAGTACAAGTGTAGATTCTGTCAGTACCGTTGTTTAAAGTCACAATAGTACATCCATAAGTTGTGAACACACCAGAGAGCAACAATCTTCCCCTAGAGATAAATATGTCTTGCATCAGAACTCCAGTCAGACTATATAATTATCTGAAACTGCAAAACTATTCATTTGATATTAGCCCTTTTCCTAACAATTTGGTTTGAATTCATCTTTAAGGCTGCAAGTTTCCTGAAGAAGAAATCAACGTCCACGTAAGTGAGATCTCAGTGCAGCTATCTACTACATTCAGTGACCGAACACTGAAAGCCATGGTGTTTAGTTCATGGTTTATGTAATTTGTTTGTTCCAGTCCAAAGTCAAAGATGAAAATGAAAGTTGAACCCACAAGACGGTCGCTTAGAAATATTGAAAAGACAACTGGAAAGACCCAATTGCCATTTACGTTTAGTCCTCCTCCTGTAATTACAACTACAAATACGCAGCATTTTGCAGTGAGTATGAAATATCCTCTTGTATTGATTGTCAGTTCAATTGTTAAATATGGTCTTTGTTGACTGTAGTAACACACATTATTATAACTTTGCTTTTGAAAACAAAGAAATCAAATGGATGGTTAATGACAATGTTGCGGTATCTATATGGTACACTGAAAAAGCATAATTCTCCATGTTTAAGCATTTTTGACTCATTCTATTAATTTCTATATTTGTTTATATGTATGTAGAATGGCCCAGTGGATGCCGTACCAAAGAATGATATCGAGGAGGCTGAAAGTCAGGCTTTCTTAAGCGCCTTGGACAATCTGAATAAAGAAACCAAGGTTTGTACATCAAGAATAACTTAATGACAATCTTGTATGTGGTATGGTAGAAATGAGTTATAAGGTATGTAGAAGTGCCCAGTTTCTTATTGTCCTGATAGGAATTGCATTTCTTGATATTGGTTATTTTTTATTTATTCATGTAGGTGACCTGCAGTATTCTCTCAGAGGAAACTTCATGTTTTAAAAGGTCAGGTGAAAGGCTACCTTGCCAAAATAATTGTTTTTCATTAATTTAATACTGTAACTCTTCTTACATGTTGCAGTTACAAAGAAAGAATTTCAAAACTTCAAGTTCATCCAGAAAATGTGCACAAAGTTGTTCCAAATAGAATTACTACTATGGCCATTCATCCAAGCTGTGAGAAAACCGTTGTCTGTGCTGGTGACAAATGGGGAAATGTCGGCTTCTGGGATGTGGTAAGACATGTTAATTTGCAGAGATGAATTAGAGTGAATTAATAACAAATGAATTAGAGCTTTGATGATTATATTTCAATTCAAGGAAGCGACAAACACTGAAAATAATGGGATATACGTATATCGTCCCCACATTGGCTGTGTAAGAACAATGTTCTTTCATCCAGAGCGAAATAATGAACTGATGTCTTGCAGTGATGATGGAACAGTAAGACGCACAGATCTCAACTCCTGTGTTTTTGATGATGTAAGTAAAATGATGTAAGAAAAACTGTGATCAAAATCTAATGAATGAATAATTCTAAGATAAGATTTTTTCCTTTGACTTTTTGGATGCTAGGCCTTTGCAAATGTAGATCATTTCATGTTTCCACTCTCAACATTTTCAGCTGTATGCGTCTGAAGACAATTGCATTTCCAGTCTCTCCTATCCCTGCAACACCCGCAACACATTTCTGTTGGGATTTGGTAACGGTGAAGTGGGAGTCCTTGACACCAGGGAATCCTCCGAGTAAGTGAACATGATATTACTATTCTTGCGTGCGTGCATCACAGATCTCACTATATGAAACTGGACACATACTTCTCACTTTAAAGTACACTGAGGATCTGATTTAAGAACCTATTTTTATCTAAAATCTAGTTGCAAGAAACACTGGTGTCATATGAGACCTATAAAGTGCCTTCACTGCAGCCCAGATAACGGATATCTCTTCTGCACTTCGTCTTCAGATGCGTAAGTACTATACATTGTATATAGATTGTATATGGATGTTTCTGAAAGTGTGAATTGCCTTGTATCTGTTTTCCAGCAGTTGGTAATTCAATACTGAATTAGTAATGCTTTGGATTCATCAGTGGATGTATTTCATTTGTCATTTTTTACATACAGGACTGTTGTACTTTGGGATTTACGAAAAATAAAGGGGAAGAAGTCAAAAGTGGATGAATATGATGGACACAGACGTTCTATAAATTCCGCATATTTCTCTCCTGTCGACGGGAAATATATCTTGACCACATCCTGGGATGACTCAATCAAGTAAGTTCCCTTTTCCAGCCTGGGTCTGGGATGTGAACTCTTTTCGAAGACTGTGTGTATATTTCAGATCTTACTGCACTACAACTACTTTTCTATATCAGCTGATATATCCTAAGTAGCTCAGCTAATCAGGTTGCAAATACAGCAAGCACAAATACAGTAGCAGTGTTATAATTATGAGAAATACCTAGGGGAGTTTATATGTTACATTCTGAGACCTAAGTAAAAGTTCAGGATTTATAATCGGATATCAAATACCATTTTTTTCTCTTTTTGTCCAGAATCTTAGAAGTAACACCTTCAACAAACTTAGAAGAGAAACAAAAGTTCAAGTAAGCATATGTATTTAACCATTTCATCGCAATATATCACAGAGTCAGAGAATTGGTGTGCCATAGTTCAATACATGATTAAAACACCCTGTGTAGATTGCACTAGTAAGTTTACTTATAATCTCACTGCACTTGTTTGCAATGTATTTAAATTAATTTTCCACACGCATCATTGAGACTGGCTTATATTTTTTTCCAAGACATTATAATAACACTGGTCGTTGGTTGTCCACTTTCAAAGCAACATGGGACCCACAAAATGGTCGTGGATTTCTGGTTGGAAGTATGCTGGACCCGCGCAGGGTAAGTTTACAGAACTCAAATAGTTTAAAATGAGTTGTGCTGGTTGTATAAGTAAGCTGGATAGTGTCAGTCCATCCCCCAGATTTACTAGAGAAAAAGCTGAGAAAGAGTATTGCTACATTGTGACCAAAAAAATTGACCTCGACTTCTTAATCCTGAATCGTAAAATTACTTTTCAAAACCCAACAATCATGGTCTAATGATGTTTACAGATACAATTTTATCATGCTGAGCAGAAGACCACACCTCTCCTAGAAAAGTTTAGTGAAAATTTTACAACCATTTCCTCAACGAACGTATTTCATCCGACTAAAAACATTATTGCATCAGGAAATTCAAGTGGAAAAGTCTTTTTATGGTCGGAATAAACGGTTCAAAATAATGCGTAAATCAGTATTTTTTAGATTTCGTTGTTGTACATAGACCGAACTTTTTTCTATCATGCAGTGTCTATAACTGTTCAATAAAGTTAAGTTTTGTTACTTGTTTTTTGTTGTCCTTTAGTTATCGTTTTGGTTGTTCTTTTAGTTGTCCTTTAGTTGTCGTTTTAGTTGTCCTTTAGTTGTCGTTTTAGTTGTCCTTTAGTTGTCGTTTTAGTTGTCCTTTAGTTGTCGTTTTAGTTGTCCTTTAGTTGTCGTTTTAGTTGTCCTTTAGTTGTCGTTTTAGTTGTCCTTTTAGTTGCCCTTTTAGTTTTCCTTTTAGTTTTCCTTTTGTTACTTTAATTTAAGTTGTTTTCGATATCGCTATATTAATAGTAAAGTTCCTAAGGACTTTATTTATAGTGCACTTTATGTAAGCGAGCCCTACCACGAAGATTGGCTTGTGTAAAACCTTTACAAAAACCTTTACATTTTAATGATTATATTGTATTTTCTTATGGTCAAGTCGTTCATAATCTTTCAGTCTTGAGCTCAGAACGTTTCCTGATCACGTGGCCTATGCATGACCCTTACCCTTGAACAAAATCCGTATATAAATTACTTTCTTCCTCCAAGGCAAGACAAGGTTAGGCTGGCCTAAAGTACGATTAAATTGGGGAATATCCCGAATCAGATTGATTATTTGATTTATGCTACATTGAGGTTTCTTGGTCGTTAACGCTAATATGTAAGTTATGTAATATCTTGTTTTTAATAGTGTACTTCGCTGTCAATACCAGCCACATTTCCAATATAAGACCTTGGACCGTGGCTTAATTCGGCGACGAACTGCATGTCGTTTATGCATGCAGTGTATTTTGACTGCCTACTGTCTGGATCATAATAATTCCTGTGACTTTCCTTTAATTCAGAATTACATTCACATTTCATTCGCTTCCACTGTTCCCTGAATCGTTCAGTAAATACGTTGCCTCCTATAATACAAAGCATTTTATTTCGTGTTGAATTATGCAAGATTTCGCAGCTCGTATTTCATGTAACAAAATATTTGCTTTATTGCTTAGGTAAGTCCGTCGCATCTATCAGCTGAACTAAAATCAGTAAAACAATCCACAAACGAGAGAAACTTCTTGAGCTAACAGCCTCGCGATGTCTTTAACTCAGCTAATAGCTCTCGTGTTCGGCTAGCTTCACTGCATGACAACAGAGTTTGCGACAAAAACAAGATGTTTTTTTAAATCTATTTCCGTTTAGTCCTTCCGAAAGTGGAATGTATAGTGATTTCTCGTGAAGTGGCGAAATTATATATTCATTTCCTAATGCAGAATCAAACTGTGTAATACGCATTATTGAAGCAACGTTATTTAACTTTTCACAATGCTTTCATTGATGGTGCTGTCTCAGTCCACGAGTGTGTGCTTCCCCAGCTTATGCTCACAACAATAATAAAGCAACTTTGAATCACACTATTTCCAATTTAAGACCATTTTGATACGCAGCTGTTTTATCTTACAGCTTAAACAATGAACAACATCACATCGGATCCAACAACGTAAGTTATGATTTTAGGATTTTCAACATTTTCCTTGTTTAATCTTGATGAATATTTTCAGGACTCCATGTGCTGTGAACAGAAGATATTATCCTCACATGTTCTTAATACCAGCTGTAAGTTTTTAGATGTTCTTGAATTTATACTCCTTGCAAATCTTGCGCTAGAAAACACACCAACATCGCAGGCATCAGCATCCAGCGGAGATCTTTGTTCATGCCTGTTCATGTACTGTAACGTTACGTCGTTAGTTACCATTAATCTATATTTACGATTTAAGGTAATAATTATTACAATCTTGGCCTTTTTGCGAAGACGGAGCAGTTTTAAGAAGCAAGTTTGGGGAGGTCGACCTGGACTAGTTATGTGAGTTCGTCATAAAGATGTAATCAGTTCCCCAAATGCAGCCTTCATGAAACAGTCCTCAAGGAATCAGACAGCGGATGCACAAAGCATTCTCGTATTTTCACTGATCATTTAGGATGGTGTTCCAGGAGCGTGTAAAGTCATTTCTTTTATCTTTTATGTAGACCTATAGACTTCCTTGGAATCGATCATGATCGACTGGCAATCGTGTTTGTGTTCGGAGCTGCTACTGGTTCAATCGTTGATCTTATCCTCACAAAATACGAAGGAAGGAATATTTGGGAAACCGGTATGAATCTGGCAAATTGCTATTTTTTTTCTTCACCCGGAGTCGGTTGTGTCAAGCCCGTTTAGCTTAAACAACGGATAAGTCAAAATGAAATAACACTCTTACATCTCTCTTGAATGAGTCAACTTGAATATTATGCACTGAATATGTAGTTTTAAACAGTATATTTGTATTAAGGTTAAAAACATTTTGTGTAATAGATCTTTCTTATAATGACGCCAAACGCGGGAAGTCTGATGTTACACGAAATTTAATTGGCTCCACAAAACTGTCGAGCCAATCAAACTTCGTGTAACATCAGACTTTCCGCGTTTGACGTCATTATGAAAAAGGTCTATTGCTCGTTGAATAAAACGATAGACGTGATTTCAATTTTGAGCTTATCCGCCGTTTAAGCTAAACGGGCTTGATACAACCGGCCCCTGTCCTGAAGTATCTTTTGAAGGCCTCGATTTACAGGCGACCTTGGTCCAGTGTCCGACAGAAATTTAATAGGAAATCTTTATGTGTTTTGTATGTAGCATTTATTGGTATTGGCATTGCTCTAGAGGTAGCTTTTCTATATTACCCATACTTTGCGTGTTTGGCGTCGTATCACAGAATTATCGGAGCGTTGATGGGACTACCTTATGCATCAATTATGTAAGTTGGATTAAGAAATATTATGTAAGTTAGAGCCTAAACTATAATGTGACTAAATGTACGTGTGTATATAGCGAGATTATTTTGTGTGTTATTAAATGAGATGTTTTGTTGCAGGTTTGCGCTAGGAAAAACGATGGATCTTGAAGAGTGTAATGTAAGTACGCAAGGCTGCTTTTCCTTGGTGGCTTCGTAAATTACCAGGGTAGAATGCATTTAGTTGAAAGTAATTAGCGCGCCTGAATGACCAAGGCAGTCTGTTTCGTTAGCTCAGTTGTCCCCTTCACTGATGATGAAGATCCTCTGGTCACACAAATAGACCGTAGGGCGTGTACTTTAGAGAAATCTCACTCCTTGTATTTTCCAAATGTTTTGTGTTCGCTAAAATTTTTGAATAAGCGTCTATTTAGCATGCGTAGATGGCGTCACACTCTCGAAAGTTTGAGACCTCTGGTATAATGTCAATTCTGTGGTAAAATGGCGCAATGGTAAAAAATCAAATTTATTTATTCAGGGCAATACGAGAACTTGGCAAGATGTTGTTTTTATGTACATATTACCAAATATACTGACAATTATATGTCACTTGTGTATTCTGGGAAAGTTTATCATTGTGCTGTACCAAGAGATTAAGGAATACGGGATCTTTGGAATCCAGATTTTCGATCGTAGGGTAATTAATACTTTTGTGTTATACGAGATGCATGTACGAAGACAAGATGCATGTCAGGTTTAATCGTTGTGAACTTAACATTGCTGGTGTTCATTCAGAATGAAGATTTATCCATGCAAGTGAATTTGACCAGGCCTTGGTTAATAAACCATGTGAAGGATCTTATTAAAAGAAGGTATTGCATGTATACACGCATGGTTATATTGACACAAATGCATATGGATACTTCGACTATTATATTCTCTTTCGTGATGGTAGATTTTATAGTATTTTTCATTCTATTTCGTAGAACACCTCAATATTCAAGGACTGAGTATTACTTAAGGAAAATCTACAATCCTGAGAAAAGTAGGTATCATATCGCACACACGCGGTGATTGCAATGACGCTGTGGTGAATAACTACAGTATATACAATACCAAACCGTTTCCCCTATGAACACCATTCTATTTACATTCTATACAGTCTTGTTTACGATAATTAACACCGCGCGATGTATGTTAGAAACTACTGTTCGTCTTTCTCGCAGAATAGTGAGCTTAGCATTCACCAAATCTACGACGTAAGTATTAGAGACTCCTTTTGATAAACAAAGCCAGAGCCGTATGTAAACAAATTATTATACTGGTTTCCTAACACTACTAATAGCAATTTTCATGTTACGTCCACGTCGTAGATTTGGCGTATCTTAAACTCGCTAATCTGATGCAGGAATACGCAAATTCTTCTTCAGGAGAGAAAATTAGGTCATGTTGAACTTTTTTGTTAAAATCACTCCATTGTTTTCTCAATCTGCACAATGTTGCATTTTTTTTAGATTTTAAATTTTCCACTCAAACGCTCTCCGTTGTGATGATATGTAGTATTTTGTGCTACAAAGTAAGCTTATAAAATTTTGATTTTGAATTGTAAACCATGTCATAATTTTGGCAACTGCATGCATGCTATCTTTCCAGATTTCGTTCATACTTGTTTTGCAAGCAAGTACGTTACTGGACGCAATAAATGATGACGATTCTGATCATATATTGGTTAAACTTTCACGTGGATTTTTTGGTTAGTTTTCTGAGAAATATATTGTGAAGTTTGTTCTTTTTTTACTTCTATGAACTACGAAATATTGATGCACATGAGTATAATAATATTTGCTTGTGGTAGTTTAGATAACGTTGGATAAAATGGCGTGAAAATGACACTATATTGTGTTGTAGTAAATTTCACGATTAAATTGTTTATATATAGGTGCATTACTCGCTGGGACTATCCTCACTGCTATTTTTTGTGTCGTGTCCATCATTCGTTTTATGGAAAATCATAAGTATGTTTTAAAAAACGTTTCTCTATAACAATTCACAAAAATTTCATTTTTCATTTGTACGAGTCCGTTTATTTATACTGAGCCAGGTGAAGAGCGGCTCTGTGAAACGTTTTTGTTTATGTTCTCCAGGAATAACATGCTGCAGATGTTTAAGGGGGATAAATCGTTCATTCCACGAAAGATCAATGTCACTCAGTTCATGATAGTAAGTTGAATATAAGCATTCTCAGACGAGACATCATTGCAAATCTTGGCAACTGTGGTTAGTTTCATATTTATTGCTCCTATACCTTGCAAGTGAAATCTTTTTACCCATCTTTTAGAATAATCCTTTCTTAACTCTAAGGGGCTGTTTACATGAGCCCGGTTACCCGAGATTCAACGAAGCGTGAGATGATTTTGAGGTATTGAAATGAGCAGATAACATGATCCTGGCAGTCGTATAATCACAACAACAATAGCATGTGCTTGTTTGGTGTCCTAAAGACTTATTTCAATACCTCAAAGTCCTCTCACGCTTCGTTGAATCTCGGGTAACCGGGCTCATGTAAACAGTCCCTAACTGAGTAAGGTGGTTATTTTACTAGGGAAAGGGATTACGATATCACAGTTATCAGATTGGTTACTTCCTGTGGGGTGAGTGTACTTGAAAAGTTTTTCCTCTTCTTAATTGAAATTCATGTGTATTGCTGAATACAGGTCTTGAAGTAAATGGGCCTAGCTTTGAACTGTTCGTCCACGTTAAAGAACCAGGCCTTTACAGATTGTGCTCGGCAACTTTTGAGCAACTTTTAAAGATTTGAGCGACTATTCGGAGCAACTTTTGCTTTTTTGAGCGACTTTTAGGCTCTTACACGTTCCATACTGCTACTTCCTTACAAATTAATGAATAAAATCTCGACCATAAAAATATTTATTAATATACTAGTACAATCTGTAGAGGCCTTTTAAAAGGACAACTACCAACCTCGTACCCAGGGTGAAAACTACCTATATAACAATCTTTTGCAGTCTTTTCGCTAGTTGTATAAATGGATTTAGATAAAATTTTCTTTTCTTTTGTTTTCTTTATAGGTTACGCGTTGCTTCTTTCGTTGTTCTTTCTTATCTGTTTCGCTCTA